GCTCTAGGGGTCAGGAGAGGGGTCTGGGCTGAGGTATAATTAGAAGACGCTGATCTGAGATCTGTGGAAGTCATGTGAGATGGGAGGAGAGAAGAGAGGAAGGGAGGGAAAGAAAGGGGAAGGGACAAGACCAGAAAAGACAGAACTTGGAGGACACCAGCATACTGTAAAGGAGACAGAGGAGGAAAGGGGGTATGGAGGGCAAGGGAGAGGGGGAGGCAGTTATAGTGATCTCCGCCCAGTAGAGGTCACGCAGGCTGAACTGGGAGGGACTACTGTTCAGTACTAAGGGGTCCCTAGGCTCCCTGCTAGAAAGATCTGCTGAGCCCTTAAAGTGTAGTCTTCTGCTTAGGGTCGTCTTCTGCCCCTGCCTATCTCCTGTAAACATACCTAGACTATGGTGGGTGGACGAATGCTCAGGTACCAGACCCCTCCAGCTCCAGTGGGTAAGGGCATATGGGTCTAGAGGTGGTAGCTAGATTCCGCAGGAATGAGGCTGTCCTATAGGTGGGTCTCCCTCAGGACCTCTAACTAAGGGGACAGTTCTAGAAGTCTTCAGCCAGGCATGGTGGTACATGCTTTTAATCCCAGCACTCAGAGGCAGGTGTATCTCTGTGAGTTCAAGGACAGCCTAGTCTACATAGTGAGTTCCAGACCAGCTGGGCTACAGGGAGATCCTGTCTCAAAAAGACCAAAAAAAAAAAAAAGGTCTTCTCCAGCTTAGGGAAGCCTGGGGTGGAGTTTTGCCATATGCTAAGAGACAGAGCCACCTAGTGGGCAGAAGGTGCCAGTTGCCTCACCTGCTCACCCTAACTACTTGTCTACTGGAGCTGTCATGCTCCGGTCCTTGTCCCATGTCCAGGCTTCAGCTACCCAGGCAGAGACAGCAGGACACCCTGGTGCACTGGCTCAGGTTGGTTCTGCTAATGGAGATGGTGGCAGATTAGAATTTTACTGGTGATCCACTTAACCACATGTATAGACAGAAATAGGAGTGCAGGGCCTCAGAAATGCAAGTGCAGTGGAGACTACACTGGGATTCTGTTGCTATCTATGCATTTGTTTATGGTGTATCTGGTACCAAGTGGAACAATGGAAAGTTCGAGAAGCT